GCGAACTCCCAACTCTTGAGCCACGATCGCCCAAATAGACATTATATTTATATTTTATTAGTAAATAAAAATGCAAAATAACGGGTTCTGTACAGGATATATCATCTTTACTGGTAGGTAGTATTTTAGAAAGGCTCAATGATGGGAAAAAAATCAATAATTCAAATTTGTGGATATGTTCTCGCATGCATTTTTTTAAAAATATCAAACTATTAATTCATGTTTAGTAAATGACAGCAAAGAAAAAAGATCAAACTAAGCACTCTTCAGTACAGCGTGTGCTCCAAAAGATCCCATCTACAGTGACTCAGCCTTCACCAAAGTGCTAATAATGAAAAGATCACCACTGCAGTTATTCTGCTGTCCATCAAAACTGATTCTGATTTAGTGCTTCAGGAATTTGCTCCATAAGCAAAACATCTTCATACAGCCCAGAAAAAAAGGAAAACAGCTCCCTGAATCTACAGGGATACTCTGATTAGATGCCCACTCATAAAATCTCTGCTGACTGCTGCATTTTTACCCCCACTTGAACCGAGTTCGTCTTAATCGAGTGGGCGATATTCATTAAAAGGTACTTTAAATTCAGATGAAGCGCTTTCGGGTCAGTCTGCGCTCAGATAAGCCAGGTCTCGGAAAGAGCACCATTAAAAAAATAGGGAAGATGCCAAATCGCTGAACCAGGGCAGTACTGGAAAAGACAGACGATTCAGAGAAAGGAAAGCGCCGATGGAGATATTGCAGGGCATAAACACGAGATAAATGACACCAACCCAAAACACCCTCTCTGGCCTCCTTCCCGAGTATCTCAACTGGTCCCAAAGTGGTTCGTTCACACAGGTAAATCTAACCTCATTGAAAAACTTCCCAGTGTTATGCTAAAGTACTCAGAAGGCAAATTGAATCTTAACAATGGCCACTACTGTGTTGAATAGAAAGGCTCCAGGCAAGTCAGGGGGAAAAACAGCGGTGACTTTTTATAGAAACACGAGCCAGCGTGTTGGAATTCAAAAATAGTTTTTACGGATACACTTCCACTGACACGCTTGCTGAATTTAGACATCACTGATTTGCTACTTGTCGAGAGATGGTGAGAATTTAGTTTAATTCGAAGAGTCTTAAAAACTCACTTGCTTTCCAGAAGGAAAAAGAACCACACACACAAATGCACTGAAAGAACCAGATTGAGAAAGTGCATAGCTCGATACTTGATGACATGCTCATTAAAGGTAAAGGGATATAGTTTATATCTCTATCTTAACTAAAGGCGCAGATTACTTCTTGCGTGTGAAAGGTTTGTGGTGATGAGCCCACAGTGAACTGGCAGCTAACTCAGAAACTGCAGTTTCCATCAGCCTTTACAGTAGTTTATATGAACTTTATAGACAACTTTACAATGACTGATCTGCAACAAAATCTCTTGTGAAATCCCAAGTCATGGGTTCTGGGTCTGTCGGAGCTTCTTTCAGCACTCAACACTCGCAAAACAGCGTTTTAATCATAAGATTTTGACTTCCTGTTTAAATACAAGCTTAGACGAATGTCTCTTGGCTAGTTTCACATGATCGATAGATCTCAATGGTACTGACTAATAAATTATGTGAAAATGCAAATAAAAAATACACTTATATCTTCATTCTTTCATTTCACTTTTCTAAGGAAAATGATGCACTGCACCCTAACCTTGCACATCGCAGATGAAATTATTTGAAAAACATATCAACAGTAGCCAAACCCCATCATCCATTATCGTCATATATAAATATCAAGAACTTCAAAACGAACAGAAAGAATTACAAAGCGTTGGATGGTTAATGTTGACAGATCTGAGTCCACCTTTCAACATAAAAAACAAAAAAGAGTTTTCAAATGTTCAGGAAGTTTATTCCATTCCCTCGCAGCTTTAAAAGAAAAGTCTCTGATTCTGTGTGCAGTGTAAAGGTATGACACCAAGTCTGGGCTGGTGAAACGTCTTTCCTATCTGTTGAGAAGCCGTCCAGCCCTCCTCAAACCTCTCTAGGTGACAACACATGGACCTTTGCCCTCGCCTGGACTAAAACAGGAGGTGGGGAGGGACAGCCTCGAGAAACAGGGGAAGTAAAAATCCAAGTGACCTGGAGGGGATGGCGACTATAAAGCCCCGTCAAGGAGATAGTTTTAAGGCAGCTTGGCTGACCAATTGTGTGATGAGAGAGCAAGTGTTTTGCGATCGTGGGCGAGGATCGATCGCGTCTTTATTTCTCACTCCAGACAGAAAGGTCAAACAGGGTTAAAGCTGATTGTCCTGAGGATGTGGCTTCATCCGCTTCCATTGTTCTTTAGTTTAATTGGGGGCGGCGCTAAAGCTTTTGGCTGGTAATGAAAAGGAATTTAGAAAAATGAGCTGGTTCCAAACAACAAAGACAAGCATCAAAGCTATAATGGTATGCGGGCACAACTCCATAATATTGAATCTCTGACAAGTGAAAGCTGCTGGTCGTATATCACACCAACGGCTTCTCACGAGCTGATTGATGTTGCCACTTACAACGTGCACGCTTTAAATCAGCCTCGTTGCATCATTTTGGTTCTGTCCCCCATTACTAGACTAGTTCACCGAGGAAACGAAGCTTCCTATTCAGTCATCCACCACTAAATGGACATCTTGGGCTTTTTTCACAGCTATGTCGCTGATCCCAAAGGTGGGGTGATGCCTTTTCATAAAGAAACTACAGGGAATGAAGACAAAGTGCCTGATACGGAGAACATCCATCACACCTGTCAGGTATAATTACCATCCAAAATAGAGTAAAGGCCTAACCTTCCCCTTGAAACACAGATATACTCTTTGTGTGAGCTATGATAGTAAATGTCAGTATTTTGCCAAGTAAAAAACAACTCTTTTCCCTCTTTCTCTGAAAAGTATTTCCGCGTTTCTTACATGGTCACCCACGCTGCACATGCACATAGTGTCTTGAGTGAAATTAGTCAATATTAATGGATTATTATTAAGAGACAATCAATCCAGATGAAGCCTAAGGCCCGTCAACTGTAGCTACAGGGAAACATCAATGCCAGATTAGCAGCAAAGCATCGGCAGCCATGAAAAGGCGAGAAAGAATACACATCCCTCCAGCCGATCAATCTTTATAAATAATCGCTTAACAGGGGGATCACTTAAAAGAAAAAAAAGAAGAGAATGTGTGCCATATGGATTAATTACACAAAAAGGCATTATGATGGCACCCCCACTGACAGCAAAGCAAAAGAAATTTAACTCATTAAAACTTTACACTCATTCAAACAAACTGCAAACAGGCTGCTCTGCTACAGTAAAGCAGCGGGCAATTACAGCTAACAACAGTGCAGCTTATGAAACAATCCATCAATCACGTCCAGGGGCGTAATTTCAGGGAATTATCATCTGAGGGGGGGACCTGCGGAGATGCGACGCCGTCCCTGATCCCTTGAAAGAAAAACTCATCAAGGAGACTGCGGTGGATGTGAGCTGCTGTGCTGCTTTTTTTTCTGTGCGTGTCTGCTTGGCTTCTCTGATGGTTTGCTCAACCCAAACACGAACGGACTAAGCGGATGTTTGGTTTCCATGGAGTTTCTTTTATAGATGAACGCTTCCTTTCATCCGGTACACGCTTCTGAAAACTGCTTCATGTCACATTGGTCCATTTTTTTATTTGCATCTTAACACACACAATTGTGTGAACATAAAGATATAGAAACATCTCACACTGATGACATGCATTGTTGTGCTGCCAGTTCAAATCTGAGAGAATAAAACGGTGCAACAGTAGAGCCAGTGTTGCCTACCTTTGCCTCAGATGTGGGCTCCAGGTAACACAGTCGATTGCCGAGCCCCTCGGCAGCCAAGCAGAACTTGCGATTCTCCTTCTGGATGCAAGCCACACACTGGAGCACCACTTCATCATCCTGTCAAAACAAAACAGACTTCAGTTTGTGTCTGCGCATGCAAGCTTAGACGCTGTCAGTGTGTGTGCATGTGTGTGTCATCCTGGGAGAAACCCAGTTCATCCACACACATGCCCATCCTTGTGCATTGATCGGAGGAAACTCTCAAACCACCATGGCCTGAGAAGTGCTCCTTCTTCTCCCCTGAACCTCGACACCAACCACAGTTTAGTTCATACAGCTGTTCATCAGAATAAGAGAAGCAAACTAGAAGTGCAAGCAAAAGCGAGCCTAACCTTAAACCTTTGAAGCTTTGCTTAAGTTACAGTGATGATCATCTTTTGACAATTAACCAATATTCAAAGGTCTATAATGACCTTTTCAGATTTGCAGCTGTAGTTCAGACAGTAGAGCAGGTTATTTACTAATCAGAAGGTTGGTGGTTCGATCCCTGGCTGCTTCAGTGTACGTGCCAAAGTATCCTTGGGTAAGATACTCAACCCCAGGTTGTGCTCAATGGAGTGTGAATGTTAGATGGAAAAAAGTGCTTGTATGGGTGAATGAGCCATTAATGAGCGCTTGAGTAGACAAACGTTATGTAAGGACCAGTCCATTTATCGTTGGTTTATTGTTGTTTGAATGGCCACACGGTGGTTACTGTCACAGAACTAATGCCGTGCTCTTTCTTTGCATAACTTGTGCACTGCCATAGCAATGATTGTTCTGTTATTATGGCGTCTGTAATTTTTAACATCACATTGGGTTCAAATCTGCCAGCTGCCTAACGCGGGGATTTACAAAAATGTTCATTATTTTTTGTTTTCCTCATATAAAAATGGATGGAATAAAATGTCCTTGCATCTAGAATGAATGTCAGGTGAATTATTAAAATTTCTGTTAAAAGATAAGTAAACTATGTTGCATTCAAAGATAAAATTGGACGTTCTTAGACCTTTTTTCCAAATTATCCATGGCTGATCCCTTCGAGTCAACCCAATCTTCTTTAGGCTATTTACGCTGTTTATATGGTGCAAATGAGGTTAAGGCTATTTGCTGGAGCATTTCACCCTATAAACAGAAATAATGGCTGAAACAAGTGAATGCATTTATAAAAGCGAGGTAGTGCACCGCTTTGATGTTGCATTAGTAAATATGTTTAAGACTGTGTGCAGATACTGTATATTTAAACAGTGTGTGTGTGTGTGTGTGTGTGTGTGTGTGTGTGTGCAAAATGAAAGTTTTGTGGATATAAATTAGATAAAATTAAAAGACTACAATGCTATTGTAAGGTGCTGCAGATACATAAAGGCCACAAATGGCTCATTTTAGATCGTCCGTAGGTGGTTGCTAGGCAACATATTGTAATCAATCGTCCATAATGAAAGTTTTATGGTTAAAAATTTGAATAAATTGCTGTAATTGTGAAAGGAAAATTATACAATGCTTTTATAAGGTGTCATTTAAGCCAATTGGTTGGTGGTTGCTAGGCATCATGATGACGTCATAATATCTGGCATAGATGAAAACCTTCAGGGAACTAAGATGTAGCTGCATGACTGTGCAGGAGAAATTCGCAGGAAAACAAGAGATTTTACATATTTATAGTAGGATGAAAATAAAGCCATAATAAATAAGACTCATTTCATGATTTAAATTAATCGCATAACACACAAAAGCTGGCTCATTGTTTTTGTGTGTTATGCGAGTAAAGGCAAATGCAGTTGATGACGACAGACGTCACCAAAAACATAAATTCTTTTGGGAGCACAAGAGCCGAAAAACAAACATCCAATGCCTCTGCTGTGTAAATGGGCTTATGGTGTTTATAGTGTTGGCCCTGTAAACGCTGAATTGGGCATAGTTACTCTTCACGACAGCAGAGCAAGCAGAAATTTGCTGATATTGGCTGCTATGGGATGGGGGGGGGTTGGAAGCTGCTGCACAATTGCCAGCTGCATTATTTAATGTGAGAGGGATTGTGCTGAGAGCAGAGTGCAGCAGTAGTAGTAGTAACAGTAAAGCACTCCATTACAGTGCAGCACAATGCACAGCAGCGAGAGATAAAGAGGACTAGCATCTGCACGTCACCGGGTGCAAGTCCGTGTTTGTGTGCGTAGAAAGCACTGCATGGAAATCAATATGACAAGCCTCGAGGCCCCTTTGCAACGCACGCGTTACACATTCATTTTCGAGTTGCTCGTGTGTGCTTCTGTCGGTGTAGATATTTTCCTTTTAGTGAAAAAAGAAAAAGCAATGTGTGCGTGCATTTGTGTTTGTGGGTGTCCTTAATGATATTACCACTATTATGTGTCATCTGATGGCTACCAACAGCAGCAAAGCTTATGTGGTTTGCGGATGTCTTCCTCCCCTTACAAACAGCCTTGTAGCTTCGCATTAAATTAGGTTAAGGTTAAATGTGGGTATGAAATTTAACAGTTGGGAATGACAATTAACATTATTAACAACATTATTAATGGCACTATCATTATCAATGGAAGCAGTATACTGGAATTTAACTGGAAGTGTGAAAACGTGCTTTAGCACTACTAGCACAATGCTAGCATGCAGCATTAATTACGATGCGATACCAGTAAAAATGAAACCTTCAATATTGACTTTTTATTTATTTGGACGAGCATCGTACGGAGCTACGAAGAGACAAGTTCGGACATTTCTGGCTTAATGAAATGGACTAAAACACCAATCAGGCATAACATTACATGTACTGACAGGCAAAGTGATTAGCTCTTCATCATGGCACCTGTTAGTGAGAGAGAGATATTAGGGAGCAAGTGAACCTTTTGTCCTTGAAGTTGATGTGTTAGAAGCAGGGAAAATGGGCAAGTGTATGGATTTGAGTGAGTTTGACTGGGACCAAATTGTGATGCCTTGACGACTGGGTCAGAGCACCTGCAAAACTGCAGCTCTGGTGGGGTGTCCCCGGTTTGCAGTGGTCAGTATCTATCATAAGTTGTTCAAGGAAGGAATAGTGATTAAGCATTGATAGGGTGGACTGGTCTGAAGAATCGCATGCCTGGCACCAGGATGCATTGTAGGAAGAAGGCAAGCCAGAAGAGGGAATGTGATGTTTTGGGCAAACCTTGGATCCTGTCATCTATGTGGATCTTACTCTGCAGGTGGCCATAATGTTATACCTGATTAGTTTATACATATGTATGACTTTTTTTAGTCTTGCTGACCACTCAGTGTGTAAGATACTAGAGGGGTGCAGCACAACAAATCTATTTAACCACCTTGAGCACAGAAATCCAGAAGTTTGTGCAACAGCTTATGTGATCTATAAAAAACCCCACAGCAAATAAACTAAGCGGTTGCACTTGAGCTTGACATCTGTGGAGAACTACTTTAGAAAGAGCTTCTGACACTTTTTTCCTCCTCACAAATTTTATAGAGCTTTCATCCGTGTGTCATACTCTAGCTTTTCAAAACAGATGGGACTTTCTCATTGAGTTCACAGGAAACTGATGAAGCTGCTGATGAAGGCCGGTAGTTCAAACCGCTTGAGTATAGTTATGTCACTGCATGCTGTCAGTACACAAACAGTGTACTGTTTGCACAGTGGGGAGATTATATATTTAAACTAACGCTGACTGTAGGAACTAATAAATCTTGGCGGGGAGAATTATAATCCAGGTTACGTTGGTCAATGATCAATGCCACGACGAACATGGGATTGTTATGGGAAACACTTTGCATAATGCTAACCATCTCAGATCGATATTAAAATGTATTCGACTCAGATACAGACTGAAATGAATAGCCCTTATGGCAAAGCGGCTCTGAGCTGGGTTAGAACATGCAATCAGTCTCCTTGTTAAGGGACCAAGAGCAGGGCTGATTTGAGCCACATAAGGATAGTATCGATCCAGGCATTTAATCAGAGAAGGCAACTCTCACGTCTCTGCTTCAGTCTAGCCCACAGCTGGCCCTTTTCCCTTGTCTCACCCCTGCACTGAAGTAATGTGGGGTATCTCCCCCCTTCTCTCTTTCTCTCTCTCACCCTGTGTCACAAACCCCTTGTTTTTTTATTCTTCTCCTCTTGCCCCTGACTTCTACACAGGATTCATAAAGAGAAGCACTAAGTGATGTCAGTCAGGTTGTAAGAATGGAAGGTACTCTTTTTACTCTTAAACTCTTAAAATATTTGAACCTGGTTGTCTATATGCAAAAGTCTCTCTATTACTACAGGAAAGGTTTAAAAGGATGACATGAGAGTTCATTTTACAGCTATATTGTTAGACATTCAACACTGGCACAATGAAACTGGTTTAAATATATAATAGATGATGTTGTACTTAAAGTTGAAGGATACTGGCATACAGCCCTCGAGACAAACACAAAGATATCTACGTATCTTTCTCAAAGCTTCCCAAACATTGTGATATAAATTTTCCTTTGAAGCAGACTACTAAAACCAAGAAAAGAATTAATTCCCCCCCCCCCCCAGCGAGCTAAGCAGTCATCATGGCATCATTTATCAGAAGAGGTAATGATTTAAGCAAAGTGACTTTGACACCAATGCACCCAGCAAGAAGGCAGGACTTCAGCTACTTATTGACTGTGTTAAAGAAAACATAAATTATTCAACTGTTTTAAAACAAATATGAGGAGAGCGAGCTGAGCCTTCAAGGGCACCTTGGGATTGAATTTGACTCAATCCTAATACTCCCTCGCTCACGCTGCCTCCTTCGTGTTCCTCCGTGCTGTGCAAACACATGCGTTTGTCATCTCCACTGTGTATATCTGTGCGTGCGCTACAACAATAGCACAAAGATCTACCTTGTTCCGGAGAAATCGTGTGAGTAATGCTATAGCATATCAATGAGCAGACTCTGACAGCGGCTTTTTTTCCCTCCCTCTTTTGAGCCAATCACACCCGTCTTATACTCAGGATAATCATAATATTGGTGTTTGCATGGAGACAGGCAGGCATAGTCATGTTACTGTGAGCCAATCACGGGTTTGAACACTATATGAAATCAGGCTCCAGTGTTAGTGAC